TACGTGACTCCGAACGCTATGCGTATGAGTATCACGGGGGGACAGGAACGGGCTGGACGACCACTGGTGTGACAGGCGCATCGACATGGGAGACGGAGGGAAGTGCTTACACGCACAGCATGTATTCACCGCGGCAGTCGCTATACGACTCGCCGCAGCACACTGCAGACGAGGAAGGCGCTCCGGAACGACGAGGCTCGCGTGTATCACGTCTATCCCGCCGAGGGAGCAGGAGGGTTAGCGCGATGGGCGGTCGGCCGATGGATGTCCACCCGGAACAGGACTCGGACGCGGAATACGAGGGCGATAGAGAATATTATCGTGAGGATGAGGAGAGGGCACCGCCGTACTCAATTCCGCATCCGCACCCTGACCCTCACTCGCACCCTCAATCACAGGAGGAGATTCCTCCGCCAACAAAAACGCACCTGCACTATCGACAACCCTTCACGCATTCTTCATCCAACCCGCACATCATGACCCTCTCCCAGCCTGCGCCCGACACGCATAAGTCAATAGAAAGGCCTCCTCCCCTACCCTCGACTGCACATCCTGCATCGTCACTTGAAGCGAGCCCACCGCGTTCATCATCGCCGTCGTCGATGTCGAAGCCGCAGATATGGGATTGGGAGGAGCGGAGACCGTCGTCGACGCTCGTGGACGAGGCAAGAAGGAGCTTGCATGTCATCACCGCCGCGCCCGGAGTGAACTTAGGGCTCGGGCTCATGGACACTGCGCTGGGCCCGTTAGGCGCGAGGGCAAGCGGCGCGGCAGGGACGGCCGGAGCAGGGGCAGTAGCTGGCGCAGGCATGGGAGCGAAGGCGGGGAGAGGATCGAGTCTGCATCCATACGTGAGTCTGTCTGAATTTATATGGCATTGTTTGCGGGGCCCATGTGCTGACACGCACGCGCGCCCGATGCAGGTGGTGAACTTCACGTCGCCGATCGGTAAGTCCGTCTCGTCCATATGGCGCATGGCACATGCGGTGTGCGTGCGCGCAGATGGCGTCCTTCGCTAACGATTGTTGCTGTCTGTCTTCTCCGCGCACAGACCTCGTTGACCTCCCGCCACGAGAGGAGCTGCCGCACGCGGTGTGATCCTGCAGTAGCTTCCCTTCTTCCTGACGCTCTGGCAAGCCTGGGCGGGAACAGGGAACTGCGTGGTGCCATGTGCTGCACGGCGTAACGGTGTCTTTCATCATCCGTATAGGCAGCACAGCCACACATGCGGTCGTGCGTGCATCACCCGCCGGCATGGCTTTCTCGCGTTGGGTTTTCTCCGGTCGTTCCTCCGTCACCCGTGGATGAAAGATGCTGAATTCCGAAGTGGCTAAACGTTCGTCCTCGATCCGGTCCTGTCATCAATCCCCAGGAGCCTACGGCGATTCATCCCCGTGGTAACTTGGTTGTTCGACTCGTCGCGCTCCTTGTCCTGACCATTCTGCCTCCGTCGTCCCCTCTCATCGTCGCGATGCTGTCTACATCTACATCTGCCGCTGCATCTGCCCGTGACCTTCATCTACCTCCGCCATCTACGTCTCCGCCTATCTATTCGCCTTGCATGTATGTCTCCATGTCATACCATACATCCCATCTAGCTCAACCCAGCCCACGTTCAAAACTCGACGTCGAATGGTGCGCGTCCCCACCGCTACCCCTCTCTATTATCCGATACCAAACACCGAAACCACCATCACCTGGCGCACGACTGACACCGACCCTCGACGTCTGCCTCCACGACACTCCCTCCGTTGACCCCGTATGTACCGCGCTACTGTTGTGCCTGGCGCATCTAGATGTGTTCTCAGTCCGACATCGTTGCCCGCATTTCGTCAGTTATCAATGCCATCTCCTACATCATCACGCCTTTGCCACCCCATCCATCGCATCCGCCTCGAGCATGCCCCCTCATCCCCCATCCCCCTTCTTCTACCGCATGGACGAAGCTGAGCGTGTTACGACCACTCACGATCTCTCATGACTACATATCTGTACCATCTTCTTGACTAACTTCGCATCGTTCTCGCCCGCCTCGGTGCGTCGTGCGGTGTCGTGTGGTGTCGGTTTTGCCTTCTGGGTCCCAGCCGCGCTGCTGTATCGCTACTCGTTAGCCATCACCTCGGACTTTCGCATATCTATCGCAACTGTCGACGGCCGTGTGCTCCATTCCCCATCCCACATCTCCCGCACTCCTACGTCATTCCCATACTCCCCAGCTCCACTGTCGTCGCGCTGTCCTTGTGTACTTCGTCTCATTTTCATTGCTTGTCCTTGGTTGTGTTCGGGTTGGCTCCGGAATGTTGTAGGATACTAGCGTCCGTGCTAATGTACCGTATATTGTACAACATGCATTTTCCCTCTCCCCCGCCGGGCCGTGCGGGTGTCAACAAACCACTGTCGAGTCTCGACTTGCCATTGCCATTGGGCTACACCTTCATGCGGTGAAGTCGTGATTCCTGTTCAAGTTAGCGAGCGCTGAACTTCGTGCGTCCCCATAGCCTTGTCCGTCATGATCAATCGAGATCGGTCATCTTTCTGACTTACAGAGCGCTTCTTCCTCTATTAGTGACCTGTCCTCCCTCATGCGACCCTATCTTCACCTCCTCTCTGACACCGAGCAGCAGTGAGTAAGATCAACTATGCATCAGGCTACGAAGCTTCTGATATAAACTGGGCCGCGGACCTCTCGCACTAACAAGCCTTCCTTCGTTATGCCCGATATAGATCACTACCATCTGACCATCCCGTAACGTCGAAGTCTCCTCGCGGCGGCTCACCTCTTTTTTTCTCCCACTGCCCGCATCATGGTCTCGCATCTCCGCCTGACGTCGGGAGCCCGTCTGGTAGGTCACGAGGACGCGCGGACAGGAAACGACGGAGCTCTGCGCACTACGACTGGCTCGCACTCTATACATGGCTCGCATCGAGGAAAGCACTGGTCGCATCGAACAGACGATGTGGTCACGGTATTGGTTCGGACCTATATTTCTGCGCTCCTCGAGCTCCGCACGCCATGAATCGTGGGGTTCAAGTCTGCCATCCGGTCTGATAGTGCGGTCGTAGGGATATTTGAGTCCCGTTCTGGATGCTGCTGGGCACTCTATGGCGATCGAACGCGACGGAGACTATAAATCGCCGTGCTCGTCCACCATGCGTAGACGGCGTTCTGCTTTGCTTGGCCTTTTCTCGACCGCGAGGGGTCTCTCAGCACTCATCGACACCATGTTTGGCTTGCTCACTTGCGTCTTGCTCGCTTGCACTCTGTTCCTCAGGCGGACTTCTGCCCTTCCTGCAACTTCAACCGCGGACGCGACTCTGCAGCCCGATTTCCGTCTCAAGCCTGGGTTGAACTCTGCTGCAAGGGCTGCGGGGAAGCTCTATCTCGGGACGGCGACGAATGCGGACCAATGGAACGACACGGCGTACTTCCGTATCCTCAAAGACGACGCGCAGTTCGGGCAGATCACGGCCGCGAACGTCATGAAATGGGTTCGTCACGGCCCCCAGCCATCTTCCTCTCTTGGTCAGCCACAACCCCACGAGCGTGTGCTAACCGGCTTCCGTGATCGATGATAGTTCGACACAGAACCCGAGCCTGGTGTCTTCACGTTCCAGGACGGGGACGTCATTGCGAGCTTCGCGCGGAAGACGGGAAAGAAGCTGCGCGGACACAACTGCGTGTGGCACAACCAGCTGCCCGACTGGGTCCTGAACGGGACATTCACTGCCCCAGAGCTCGAGCTGGTCGTGTCGAGGCACTGCTTCAACCTCGTCCACCATTACCGGGGCCAAGTGTGAGTTCTTCTTTGACCCACCGCGCACGCCCGGTGACCGTCCTACTTATGCGTGCCCTCTGACAGCTGTACGTACTCGTGAATCATCCAGCTGCACGAGTCCGTCCCAAGACTAACGCTTTTCGCGCGCTTCTGTGGCCTGCAGACAGCTGGGACGTCATCAACGGTACGTTCTTGCTACCACGACGCTTTCGGAGGGATGGTGTGACTCAGCGAGACGCACGTAGAGCCGTTCAACGACGATGGGACGTTCCGCTCGGACGTCTTCTTCGACACCCTCAACACGTCCTACATCCCACTCGCGCTGCGCGCCGCGCGCCGCGCCGACCCCCACGCCAAGCTCTACATCAACGACTTCGGGAACGAAGGCATCGGTACGTACACACCACTGTCCCCTCGCACCCTGCATTCCATATTCGCGGGTCGAATTCAATCCGTCTCTCGCTCGCCGCTGACGCATGAAGTCATCGCACACATGACCTCCCCATCCCCAGGCGCGAAGTCGACGGCGCTCAAGAACCTCGTCAAGGCGCTCAAGCGCGCGCGCGTGCCCATCGACGGCGTCGGCCTGCAGAGCCACTTCACCGTCGGCGGCGTCCCGCCGACGCTCCAGCAGAACATCGAGGAGTTTGTCGCGCTCGGCGTCGAGGTCGCGATCACCGAGCTCGACGTGCGCTTCGAGGCCCTCCCGCCGACCGCGGCGGGCGTCGCGCAGCAGAAGGCGGACTACGAGGCCGTCGTGCGCGCGTGCAACGCCGTGGAGCGCTGCGTCGGCGTCACCCTCTGGGATTTCACTGACAAGGTGCGTCGGGGCTGGGCGATCACCATGATGCACCCCAACTCCCAACTCCCAATTTGCGTGTCTTACGAAGCTCGGGCTGACTTGTTGCGTGCGCGGTCTGAACACTAGTACTCGTGGGTTCCTGGTGCGTTTGCTGGGCAGGGGTCTGCCTGTCCGTGGGATGAGGTACGTCGTCAGAAAGCACCGTTCGTGATTGCAATTGACTCGACTTGCTTTACAGAATTTCGTCAGGAAACCTGCTTTTGACGGGATCATAGAAGGTTTCTTCAAATAAGAGACATGGGATTTAAAATGCGTTGCGTTCGGGTATACACGCTGTATAAGAACTGCTAGAGAATACACTGTCGGTGAGTATTCGCGATGTAGAGCCACTCGCTACCAAAGTAAAAAGTTGATAAAAGGAATGGACACACTGGGAATTGAACCCAGCACCCCCCGCAAGCCACCACATAGATGCTAAGCGGATGTGATAACCAACTACACCATGCGCCCTTATAATGGGGTTATGTAGCAGTAGGTCAATACTACAAGAATTCACAAAACACAACATATGTGAAGTCAAACTGGACTCGTCACCAAGGAGTCATTACTTTTATACTATACTATCATGTAGTCAGTTCCTACTCCTCAGAATCAATCCTCAAGCTCAGACCTCTCGCTTGTCCGAGTCTAGCTAGTATCTCCTCCTCGCACTCTGGGCTTTCAGGCGTGAAGTATCTCAATCGAATCATAATTGTGTATTGAACAGCCAGAGAATCCGTGTGAGATCCAGAGAGTTAGAGGTGAGTCGAAGCAGCATCTGTGGATGGATGTGCTCATTGATGATCAATGCATACATCATGCCAGCATGCTCTTGATACAGTTCGAGTCCATGTGCCGCATTGCCGTAACTTGGAAGGACGGATCTACGCACCCTGAACTTGCATAGGAAATCCACCTACCCCTGGCGTGTCCACAGCCGACTGCCGTGCTCGTGGGCTCAGGCGAGTGACAGCGGTTCTGATCGTTTCTTGGCCTCTCGCACTGCGCAGAACCTGAATCTTGCTGTGGACGCCCGGGTGCAGATGAGTTGGATATGGACGGCAACGTAATATGCCGTCCCCCTGTCCATCCCAAGTGTCCTCTCTGTTGATCTAATCTCGGCTCGGACTAGCCCCTCTGGTGTCTTATGTTTTCCTCGCTCATGTCGCGACGCAGGGAAGGCGGGCCCAAAGGGGTGAACCCACTTCCTGACAGGTCGTATCAAAGTCAAACCATACGGACCGCCGCAGCGCCCACCGGTGCCTTATAAAGGGCAACCTGTTCGCCTTTCTGCACTAAGCCATCGCACCTGGCCGCATACTCGCTTGCTGTCAGGCTGGCCCCCTTTTCGTCTTCCGACCGGTTCCATACCGTGCGGTTCAACCACCACCATCCGCCGTATCTTCACCCTCCCCCAGCAGCCGTTCAAGACGCCTGCCGATCTACTTTCCAAACCCCAGAGGAGCTACCGCCGGCGTATTCCTCCTAAAACAAATGGATCCTTCCCGGCCTCCTCGTCCGGAGCTCAAGCTCACGACTCTTCCGATCCTCTCGCAAGCATCGTTCGACGAGCTCTCCGCTGCCGTCAAAGGCCCGGTTATTCGTCCAAGTGACGCAGAGTAAGACATCGACATCGATCTCCACCCGTTTATCCAACTGACTATCTCAGTTATCCTGAACGTGCCAAGACATTCAACGGCAGGCTCGAGCCTCGATCCAGAGTCCTCGTATCTCCTCTTGATGCGCACGATGTCAGCGCCGTCGTCAACTTCTGTGTAAAGCACAACCTCTCGCCTTCCGTGCGTGCCGGTGGGTATGGCATCGCTGGTTGGTCTGTTGCGGGCGACGTCGTCATCGATATGAGCATGATCAAGGACATCGAAATAGAACCCCCTCAGCCTGTAGACGGAGGCCGCATGTCGGACTGGGTCCCTCTAGCGGACATGCCCCTGCCCGGCACCAAGGGCAAGGCCCGGGCCCTAGGGCTCCGGCTTGTAGGGTCCACTTCTTCTGCGTCAGCGACTCCAAGCGAGCTGCCTCGAGGACCGGACCCAGCACGCTCGCCAACCACGATTGGGAAGCGACGACGCGAGGACCGCTCTCCTTCTTCGGGAGCTGACGAAATCAGCTCCTCTACGGGCGTCGGACAATTCGACAACGCCTCGCATGCTCTTGCTACCTTCTTCCGTGGTCCCCCTCTCCCTCCTGAGCCCGGAGAGACCCCCGGCAACCTCCTACGAACAAACCACGTATCCATTCCCCTACCTCTCCGTCGGCCATCGAGCAGGACCCCTTTGTGCCCGCTGACGTGGACTCGCGATCTCCTGGATTGTGCCATCGGCCTGCCACCACGTCGACGGCGTCACTGCCCATCCCGCCGCCACTCGATGAGCACTCTCGCCAGACCTCCCAAGGATCGACGGTGTCGGATAGCAGCTCTCTTTTCTCGACTCTCACGAGAAGCACGTCCGCCACAACGTCTATCACCCCGCCGGTCGACGCATCTGCGCCGGAGACGTCCCCTCTTTCGACTGATGCTCGCGCACCGTTCAGCTACCTCTCGGCCGGCGGCCCTGCTGGCATAGGTATGGGCTTTGGTCTCGGTTTTGGCCCCACTGCCGGGGTGTCTGGGGCAGGAGTATCGGCCCTCCCCTCGTTCCTCCCACCGCCGCTCCACACCGGGGGTTCGACGGGGGTCGTGGCATGGAACCCCCTGACTATGGGCATTCCAGGCGTCGCAGGAGCCTCCCCGTTCTCCGTGCCGCCCCCCATGTCGTCCGCCATGTCATCCATGTTCACCGCGCCAGTATTTTCCGCCGCCCAGGGCGCGATGTCCGGTCAGACCTTCTCATCGATCTCTGGGACGCCGGGGATGTCGAACGCCTTCGCTCAGGCGCTGCAAGCCGCACAAGCCACGGCAGGGCACCTCGGCACGATGCCACACGCGAAGCCCGTCCACCCGCATGCCTATGTCACCTTTGGCGCGGGCATGCGCCAGAAGGAGGTCGACATGTACACGTCGGACCACCCGCTGGAGGGCGTGAACCCCGTGACGGGAGAGAAGGACGCGGCGGTGCCATACCATGTTCCCATGTAAGTCCGAGTCGCTGGAGTTTTAGGTTGTTGCCCGCAAGCGACTTTTTGCTGACGTGGCGTGGCCGCTGCTGCGATCCTTGACATGCAGGTCCGCGCACCCCGTCGGCTCGTCTATCATGCTGCTTGCGGGCTTTGGGTTCATCAGCAGGATGTATGGGCTGAGCATCGACAATCTTGTGGAGGTTGAGATGGTCCTTGCCGACGGAAGAATTGTCATCGTCAATGCTGAGGAGGATCCTGGTGTGTTCAGTCACTAGTGACCCGTTCCGCTGCCGATCACTCACACCACGTCGACAGAATTGTGGTGGGCCATCCGAGGCGCAGGTCCCGCATTCGGCATCGCGACCCGGTACAAAGCCCGTGCATTCCCGGTCCCCGTCGTCTTCGCCGGTAACCTCCTGTAGTACGTCTGCATTGCCTTTGCCCTTTATCCTCCCTCCACTCGAACGTCCTGCACCTATGTTTGTCCTCACGCTGACTCCCGCCCCTCCGACTCTCCAGCCGCTTCCACCGCGCAACCGCGGCCTCGCTGATCAAGCACTTCCGCGACTGTATCAAAGGCGCGCCGCGTGAGCTCTACGCTAACGTCCTCCTCACCGCCGGGCCCGCGGACCAGGACTCTCTGGTGGTGATCCAGATGTGCTACGTCGGCCCGAAGGAGAAGGGGCTTGAGTACCTCCAGGCGATCTCGAGCTGGGACGGCGAGCGGTGCCTGCTGAACGAGGTCAATGAGAAGAGCTTCCTGAACCAGCAGGATAGCGTGGCGCAGGTGCTCCGTGGGCGCGGTGAGTCTCCGGTTGTGTGCCCGTTGTCGCCCGTCCACCGTCGCACACGGACGATCGCGACGGAGGACGGGGGACGAGGGACGGTGAGGACGTGGCTGATTTCGTGCGGTGAACAGCCGGGCGGCAGTGGTTCCTCCGCTCATCGCTCATCACCTCCCTCCCCGACGAGCTCATCACGAAGACGGTCATGGAGTTTGCGGACACGCCCATCGGATGCAGTACGTGCCCCTCGCTTGCCCTCCCTCTGTGCCGTCTCCCCCTCCCTGTAGCACAATCAACTAACGGGGCTACGACACGCAGCATGGATCTTCGAGCTTGCGGGCGGTGCCATTGGCGACTTCGACGACACCTGCCTGCCGAAAGAACAGCGCGAGGCGGCGTGGACCGTCGCCGCCCTGCACCAATGGGACATCGGGATCGACGACCCGCGGTGCGTCAGCACTGCTGAAGACGTAAGTGTCTCTGTCCCGTCGCCCCGGACGCATCCGCCATCTTCCCCCCAAGCAATATACGCGCATGCTAATCCGCGCGCACACAGTGGATGAAGGACACGGTCAAGCCGCACTCCACCGGCGGGCCCTATCCGACCGTAAGCTCTCTCTTCTCTCTTCCCTGCTCGTCCTCCCGTTTTCGAGGCTCACGCTCGCGCTCGCGCCCGTCCGCCGCCAGTTCCTCGGCCGCCACGAGCCGCCGGCGCGCACGAAGGCGTGCTACGGCAAGAACTGGGCGCGGCTCGCGGCGCTCAAGCGCAGGTACGACCCGGGCGGGTTCTTCAAGAACAATTTCTGGCCGCTCGACAAGGACGGGAACGACATCGAGCCGCTGCACAACGAGCCGCCGTCGCCGCTCGAGCACTGAGTACTGATCGTCAGATGCTCTGATATCATGGCGGGGTCCTTGACTGTTGTTCATCTGCCAAAGTTTGCTTTGCTGCCAACTGTGTGGTACCTGCGATCTATGATCCATCTGTGTCTACTAGATGTCTCTGTGCCTACTAAATGTCTTTGTGCTCACTCAATTTCGATGTCTTGTAAACATGCTTGTGCACCTGTTTTCTAAGTCGTATCATCCTTGTCACCAGACTGCTCTCACTGCTTGCACCGAGACTCGAGCACTCACTCAACCATCGGGATTCATCCCATACACATTCAGCCAGGTGATCATTTGAGATTGTTTCGTCATTTGCATTGGGGGATCTGTTTCTACATCTACTCAGGCATACTACCTACATTGCATGCGGTCGTAACAGGGTCGCGAGACGGAGATCATGGAGGGGATCCGATCCGGGAAATGAGGGGGATATATGTTGATACACGATAAATATAGCACGAATGGAGGGGCGGAGAACGAGAGATCGTCCATCGCAGGCTCAACGTACAACCCGGTTGAATGACGAAGATACAGAGCCTCTAGAGGACGAGGATGGGGGGGACACGGACACGGGTGCTAGGTAACGCAGGCAAGGTATTGTGTGGGGTAACGTACGGAGGAATGGGGGGATATAACACATGTACATGCACGGTATGCGGGACAATAGCACATGAGATGCGGAGAGAAGAGAGATGGCGCATGGAACATGAAAGATGAGAG